ATTTAATTAATTAATATAATTCAAATTTAAATATGTAATTTTCCATTTATTTACGCATTACATATTTGTTTATTGTTAAACCACCTTAAAATAGTGGACATTAAATCAAACTATCTTACACTAACTACAAAGTAGGGATTTGATGTGCCTAAAAAAGCAAGGCTGCAAAGCCTGCAACTAATTATAGGTCATGTGTAAACGAAAGTTGGAAATGGATCCTCTCATGTCTAATTTAACATGATTATATTATATGGGAGGATCTTAACCTTTAATAATTAAATCAACGATCATGATTGTGTAATTTTCTATCCTTATATTTTTTTTTCTCTCCTCCCTTATCATCATTAACTCACCCATGTATGATTATTATTGACCCACATGATATGGTCATGTTAATTAGCACATGAGAGGATCCACTCCCCTGAAAGTTAGTCCTACTGGGTTTGATGGGGTGTTTGACTAGTTTGGGATATTTTTTCTTTAAATTTATGAATTTGGTATGTGGATGGGAATAATTACGGATTGAGATCAAGTGCCGCGGTAAGAACCCAGTGTATTTAAATGATGCTCTCGGAGACCCATTATTTTTTTTTATTACGAGTTCCGCACAGCCCCCCCCCCCCTCCCACGACATTCATATATATATATATATATATATATATATATATATTGTTGAGATATATAATTCCATATTGATTGTGTGGGTAACTAATGTGGCCTTTATCAGGCGCCTTGGGCACTCTCACCCTTTGAGCTAGTTTTTGGAGTGGTGTATCCCAAGGTTTTTTACATGATATCAGAGCTTGAGTGACTACAAGGTCACAAGTTCGATCCTCACCGCCCCCACTTTAAAGTGGAATTAAAATTAAAGCACAAAAAGGTAAACCAAAAATTGGGCCTATGCAATATCCACACTTCTAGCCCAAAGGGCTATCGTGTGAGGGGAAAGTTGAGATATATAGCCTCACATTGATTGTGTGGGCAACTAATGTGGCCTTTATTAGGCCTTGGGCACTTTCACCCTTTGAGCTAGCTTTTGAGGTGATGTATCCCAAATGGAGAACAAGGTATGTTGCTACATTTTGTTATTGCAATTGCTACAGGAGTAATATTTTTTGCCTTCAATAATATGTTGTAACTGCCTTGTAGAGAACAAGGTATGTTGCTACATTTTGTTAATTTCATACTATATATTCATGAGGGAAATGATGTATGATAATAAAGAGAAGCCAAGAATTTCATTTTTGACATCAATGCTGTGAAGCTATCAATGAAAGCTGCAAGTCACGATTAGAAAGTCACATTTGACCGAAATAGATATATATAAATGCCGTTGGGTGATGTGCGGAACTTGTAATAAAAAAAAAAAATATATGAGAATTAGTGACAACGGGAGTTATGTGCGACACTTATTTAAATAAAAATAATATTTATTGAATGTCGATGGTGATGAGGGCAACATTGGGTTAGAAGAGAAAAAAAATCAAATTACATGAGTGCTGTGAAGATCCAGAGACGTCATTTAAAGAAAATTACTTAAAAGACCTCAATTCATAATTACTCGCGTCCACGCACCAAATTCCTAAATTTAAAGAAAAAATGTTTGGGTCAAACACCCGGGTTTGATGTACCAATATGATCCGTTTTCTTCTACCTTTTCTTTTTATGGGGGAGTGCGCTTAATGGAGGAAATAGCAAGTCTTTCAACTTTTTAACTTTGAAAAGAATATTTATTATTGGGAAAATGACTGAAGCTGTAGCAATCGTACTTTAGAACAACTTAAAGCCAATCATTTTAGTGAATGACTGGTGTCAACACATAAGTAAAAGCGATATATACCTAGAGACTTGTGTGAGATTAGAAAAATAAGATGACTTAATGATTAAGCTTGGATGTGTAAAATGTACGATACTTGGTCTTATTCAAGAATAAGTCAATAAAAAATGATTAAAACACTCTCGAATTATCTTAAGGAAAAAAATTTCTAAGCTCTTGGCTCATGTTAATTTCTGATAGTTCCTCTCATAATTAATTTTTTTTTTTATCCCTGTTTTTATTTTCATTTTTCTTTTTTACCCCCCTATATATGAGTGAGAGTAACTAAATTTTCTATAAACCTGGACCATAGTATTCTTTCTCCATTTTAAGAATGCATCTCTAATATTCACATGTTGCGTTTAAATAATTTTGCTTTATAAATCTAGCTTAATTTTCGAACAATATTATAATCAGGCAAAAAAGTAATTAATTATAATTTAAATAAAAAATTATAAATTTATACTTATTTTCAAAATATTTATGTGTATTGTAGTGTATCAAGCCCAATTTGGACGTCATAGGTTACGCCCCATGAAGGCGTCAATGCCATGCCATGTGGGTCACGCCCCGTTTAGGTGTGACTAATGACGCCCAAATTGGGCGTCCGTAGCACTGGTTTGAAACCCACCTGGGGCATGAATGGTATATCTATTTAAACCATTTTCCTTTACCCACTCTTCATAATTCTTCTCCATCATGTTTCCTTACTTTTACATACAAAATTATTAGCTTATTCATAGTCTCTTATTTTATTTGTTTAAAAATTTAAAACAAGTTCACATTCTGATTCTGTTTGTGTTGTGTTATATTACAATGGTAGGAAGGTGAAAGGCTGACGTGGTGTATTTTTTGAAGGTGAAAAAAAGGCCAACACATATCAAAGGCAACTCAACAATTGATGAATTGCATCAAAAAATCGTCAAAAGTTAGCTCTCCAAGGTAACCAATCTATCACTCAGGTCATCACAAGGTTATGACAATTTGAACAATACATTAGTTTGCAAATGGTGGATGATGAAGACGTAGATATGATAATAGAAGAATTTTTCAACCGGTCAAGGAAAGATTTTCTGGAGTTGTATATGGACATTTCTGAAACAAAGGATGTTGTTTTACCTGTGAAGTCAGTTGCTTTAAATTCTCCACGTAATGCATCAATATCTGCTGCTCTTGCTGCTCCAGTTGTTAACATTTCTGAGAAAGATGAAAATGACCCTACTTGGGTTATGCATAATGATTATGATGATGACGATGATAAAAATATGGAAGAACGTCTTCTGGCCGAAGATGCTAGTTCTTCAAAAGAAGATGACGATGGTGATAGGCCCACTTCTCAAATCCCAGTATAATGAGTCTTATGGTTTGATGGGTCTTATAGTTTTTTTTATCTCAACTGGAGATAAAAAGTCTCTTCTGTTATAGAAGAGACATATTGCCCTTAAAAAAATGATTCATTTTATTAGTTTTGCCACCGGGAGATCCTTTGCGTATTGATTGACATACCTCTCTCCTTTCATCAAATAATCTTATTCGCATAGTATTGTTTGTGAAATAAAAATAATAATTTTATATATTTTTCTAATTTTTGTGTCCATAAAATTATATTTGTTATTTTTTAATTGAAATTGAATTAATCAAATAATAAATGAATTGAGAAAAAAATAAAAGAAATGTTGTAATAGTTTTTGTTTCTTTTATTATCTTCTCTGTTATATTATCATACTGATAAAAGGTCTTACACATTGAGGTAAGAGGTTTGAATTATATTTTATTTATTTACTTTTTTGTTAGGAAGCATCAAAATTAAACTCATAATTTTTCAACTTGTAATCATAATAAAAGTTTGTGGTGAGATAATTTTGCAAAGAAATAGCCCGTTTGTTTCTTAAGAAGAGATGAAAAATATGCTCAATATCATTTGATTGAATAGTTGATCCAGCCTTTTGTTGTTTGACAAAACCCTCCACTTCAATTGGTATTTTTTTACAAAAAACAAATATGAGATAATAAAGACTATCAATATTTTTCTTATCAATCACCTCTCAATTTAATAAGAAGTATAGTTAAAAACTATAAACTGACGCTAAACTAACTGGCCATGTTGCACTTGTATCACAAGTCAAAACTGCCATATGGCCAGGTTGTCTATGCTTGCTTGATTTGATCCAAGGTGGTTAAGGAACCTGCCCTCATTAACATGTGAGTTATTATTATAATTCACATTCTATTCTTACACAGTTACATTTATTTATGTTCATACAATTTTTTTTACCATATTCCTATACAATTTAATAATTTTGTCCAGCATATATATGCTTTGTCTAAATTTATTCAGTTTTAATTTCAGTTTAATGACTCAGTTATACATAATATCCAAATTTGTATTTGTATTTGTATTTTTTAGGGCAACATAGTCTTAATCCAGTCATTAGTTAAGTTATATTCGAACGGGGTCTAAGTCTTCAAAATTATTCTTTTAAAATAACAGATTGAGTTTGGATCAGTTTAAATATGTTCGGTAAACACCAATGTTGTATACATTAACATAAAACTTGTCAAACATGAAGAAATTCTCACAATTTATTAATCATTATTAACCAATAAATTAACTATCTATAATTTTTAACCAAGGAATTGTCTCTTTTAACTGCCAAATTTGGTCACACATTTTTTTTTATGTATTTTATCATTATGATTTACTTATATTTTTATAGGCTTTAATATTTCTACCATAGATGTAAATAAGTTATCTATATTCACTTCCAAAACGACGTTGTTTCGAGTTAAAAAAATATAAAAAAAGACTATTATAATCCTAAAATAAATTATAATTACAAAAAATATCTTAATTTCTGTCTCAAAATGATATCGTTTTAGGCTCAATTAGAAAAAGCAAATCCATTTTTATATTCTAATTACTAAAAATTCTTACTACTAACTTATTACCCATCACATCACCATTGAATCAAAGAGAGAGAATGTTAAAAAAAATTTGAAAAGAGAGAAAATATGAATCTAATGATAATTAGATAACTAATAAATTGATAGTGAAAAATTTTGGCCGCAAGAATACAGCGCCTTTTTTATAATTTACAAATTTTCATAACACACAGTTGTGAGTTGTAAGTTTGGAACTTTACGTTTCGTTGTGTTATTCGAAACTTGCAACTATAGCAGCTCCTTATAGAGATTAGAATCTCTTTCTCTTTCTCTCTCTCTCTGGAATTATGATCATGAAGCACAACTACAACACTAATTATTTTTGCACTGCGTTGCTTTTTGTTCTTATATTCCTTTAGTGTCTCAATCCCACTTTGCTTTCCTTTGTTCCTCTTTCCAACAACCGACACTAATGGTGGCGGCGGCCGCTTTTCTCTTCACTGTCGCGTTGCTGTTGGCGGAGGCTGTTTCTGGATTTCCGGTGACTCTGAAACTGGAAAGGGCATTTCCTTCGAATCATGGGGTGGAGTTAAGTGAGCTCAGAGCGTGGGACACTGTAAGACATCGTAGAATGTTACAGAGTACTAACTATGTTGTCGATTTCCCAGTTAAAGGCGCATCCGATCCCTCACAAGTCGGGTAATTCTTTCTCCACTCTTTGAATTTCACTTTTTTGGATCAACTTCTCTAATGGGTGTTATCAAAGGAGGGTTTTTGTGTGTGTGTGTGTGTGTGCGTGTGTGTGTGTTAAGGTTAATATCAAAGTTGGCTTGGTTTGGGTATGTGGTTCTCAATTCTCAATGTTTTATTTTTTTCATTTGTAATTTCTTGAATTACCTTATGCTTTGTGCTTGTCAATTTTATTTTATTTTTTAAATTAATTTGAAAATTTATGGCTTGTTTCAGGCTTTATTTTACAAAGGTGCAATTGGGTTCTCCTCCAAGGGAGTTTCATGTGCAGATTGACACTGGCAGTGATGTTCTTTGGGTTAGTTGTGGTTCCTGCAATGGTTGTCCCCAGACAAGTGGTCTCCCAGTAAATTCCCTGTTCCTCATTTTCTTAATTCAATATAATGTTTGTATAACTATAACAAGATAATAAATTTGGGATTTGTGAATATCATCATTGCTGGATTTTTGTTGCAGATTCAGCTCAATTACTTCGACCCTGGGAGTTCATCAACATCTTCATTGATTTCTTGTTTTGACCAAAGGTGCAGGAGTGGAGTACAGTCATCAGATGCTAGCTGTTCCAGTCAGAGCAACCAATGCACTTACACATTCCAGTATGGAGATGGTAGTGGAACATCAGGCTATTATGTATCAGACTTGATGCATTTTGCCAGTATTTTTCAGGGACATTTCACCACAAATTCATCAGCCCCAGTAGTTTTTGGGTGAGCTATCATGAGCCTGAACTTGTTGAAAACCTATCTTTTAATAACATTCCTATATATATATATATATATATATATATATATATATATATATATTTGTTGGTTCAAGCTTGGAGAGGATTAAATTGTGTGTTGTTGTGCTATGGAACAGTTGTAGCAATCTTCAGACTGGGGACTTAACAAAGTCTGATAGAGCAGTGGATGGGATTTTTGGATTTGGGCAACAGGGCATGTCTGTCATTGACCAGCTATCCTCACAAGGACTAGCTCCAAGAGTGTTCTCTCATTGCCTGAAAGGAGACAGTAGTGGTGGGGGCTTATTGGTTCTTGGTGAGATTGTGGAGCCAAACATAATTTATAGTCCACTTGTTCCATCACAGTACGTTCTTTCTTACAATAAAATGCTACATTTTATATATTTTTTATATCAACTGTTTTTGTGGTTTTGTTATGTACTATATACATGCTGTTCGTTGTCTGAATTGTTTGGTAAATGAAGCTTAGCTTAGAGGCTTAAATGAAATTTTTTACTACCTTTATCCTTTAGATTATATATTTTAGTTGAAGAATGAAATTCTTCATCAAGGGTTGACTTCTGTTGATTTTCTGAATGAGATGGAAACAGCAAGTTGTTTAGTTAATGAAGCTTCTTGCCTTTTTTCATAGGAGCCTAATAAGATGAATGCATTTTTTTTGGATGTATTGACTATTGATACGTAGCAAGTGTTTAATATTAGAAGTCACTTGGTGCTCTGGGCTTCAAATAAGTAGTCTAACTAATATGTTTATCTAAATAAAGTTTCAACTGTGTGTAACTCTTGAACTTTGAAATATTATATTATTTCTAGCACACCAGTTAGGAATTTGATTGTGAAAATTTATGCCTAATGATACGTATTTGGCATTTTGATAGTTTGTACCAATTTACAGCTATAGAACTTAGCTCGTTGCTTTCGTAAAGAGTCAATTCAACCTAAAATTTTAAACTATTAGGTGAAGATAGATGAATGATATTATAATTTTATATTATATTTCTAACAGATTTTAAGCCTTGATTAGCTCGACTACTAAGCATATAAACTGACTTCCTTTCTAGTGTGGGTGCATATTTCTTTATGGGTGTCATGTGGTGCATGGAGTACTTTAATTTATTTTTTTTGCTAGGAATTTATAAACAGATAGTAATTTAGGCACATTTTTGGATTTTATAACTCTATCATGGGTTACTGCGTTTTTCTTCTCTTTTTTTAACCAGAAATATGCCTTCACTATTGTATCCTTAAATATCATACAGAAGTTGAATAATAATTTGAAAATTTAAACACGTTACTGTCAAAAATTTATTTGTACTGAAATGGCTTGTAAGCATTTCTTCGAGAAAAATGTTTAGACTAATTGCTTCCTTGGCAAATTTTTCAGGCCTCATTACAATTTAAATATGCAGAGCATCTCTGTCAATGGCCAAGCATTGCAAATTGATCCTGCAGTTTTTGCTACATCAAACACTAGAGGTACCATTATTGATTCTGGAACAACTCTGGCGTACCTTGCAGATGAGGCTTACAATCCCTTTGTCAATGCGGTGAGTTTCACCTAGGCAATTTTTTTTCGTCCAATTGATCAATAATATATTATTGCTTAGATTCTTCACGTGTAGCGGTAGTGACATACTTTTTTCTTTGTAGGAGGTTTATATTAGGAACCCCCAATTTAGGAAATTAAGTTCGAAGAAATAATGGTAGACCCAAAGAACCATATGGGCAAGCTTCTATTAGTTAGGCCTAGTTAGTTCCCAAACACGGGGATCAATGGGGGTGGTTAGGGAAATCCTAACAAAATTAGTTAATTAGGTCATTGGAATTATAAATGTTTCCAACCTAATTATGATCCGGATTTATGTGTTTTGGATCTGGATTCAAAGTCGGAACTCCCAAAGCTAGAAACAAAGATACGTGAGAAGAAGCATAAGGTGGACGAAGAAGAGATTGAAACCAAGCAACAAAAGAAACCTAAAGAAGAATCCAAAGAGGAAGATAAGCCATTGTTGAATGACCTAAATTTGAAAAAGAAGGCTTAGGGGAAGGTTTTTGATGCGATCCAGCCCATGAAGTTTTACAAGAGGGATATGTTGCGAATACAGCAAGTATACCGATTGTTTCAAGTAATAAAGTAGTGAGAAAGATTATCGTCCCACGAGTATTGAAGTGCCAAATACTATTATAACTATTCCCTCTAATTTGGGCAATTCAATTTGTTTATTGAGAATAATAGTTAAATTATTATAAAAAGAATGAAACGTAATTGTATAAAAAACATGCAATTATGATCGAAGAATGATTAAGAATTTATAATAAAGAACTGTAGCTAGGGCGCACTACACTTTTGATTCCTCCTTATTAATCTGAATTAATTCTTATAATTAATTAACTTAATAGTTCAGAGAATTCACCTTCTTCAAATTAATTGGTTAAACCCTAATGTCGTAGAATATTTAACCCTTTAACCCAATTAGAATCCTAATGTCTTAGTAACTCTTCTTGAATTAAGCATTAAGTTCAATGAATTAAGAAATCTACAATTCATACAAGCCTATGTTTAGATCATGCACAAATTGTTATTTTATCCCAGTCAGAATTAGAACCCCAATATGTCTATTGTGACCTTTAACCCTCAAAACCCTATAAGATTGATCAGATCTAATAAGGATATAAAATTTTCATTCAAGGTAAAATATAATTGATTGAATTAAAAGAACTATAAAAATAATTCAAATACCAAAGGGTTCACATCAGATGCATTACCCTAACTACAATGAAAAACTAGCCAAACATAGCTAGCTTAAAGAAAATAATGAAATATAAGAAACTAGAATTCATGAAGAAAGAAAGAAAAGGGGAAGATCTTCAGTCTTCAATCTTCAATTTCTCTGAATGCTTGATCTCTAGCGGAAAAGCTCCAAGATTTCTCTCAATTGTCGCTCTCTAATTCTCTGAGTTCTCTCTACTGTCAAAAAGCTCCAAAATAGGGTTTCTTTTTCCCTATTTATACAATGCAACAAATCTTTCCCAAATCTCTCAAGGAATTCTCTTTTAAATAAAATTCCACCTCATTTAAGTGTTGCACGTGACCTCAGCGCGGTTAGCGCCAGTATCACGCTAATCACATGGAGAGGCAGTGAGTTGGGCAATCTTTATTTATTCCTGGCGCGGAGCGCGGATCGCACCATTCCCGTGCCAATAGCACGGAGAGGCAGTTTGCCAAGCTTCCTTCTGTGAATTAATCTTCTTTTCTTGTACTTTTCTTCTACAAAACACAGAAATTCAGTGAGAGTATGCCTGAGCATGGATTATCAATATTTCTAACAGATACTAATATTTATTGCTCAATTAATATCAAATCGTTGCTCTTTTTAGTCGAGAAAATTATATATGCTGGAGGCATATAGGGATAAAACTTATAAAAGGAGAAATATGTTGGGCTCATCTACTTAGGCCATAGCTGCTGACTAGCAAGGCAGTTACAATTGGTTCTAACAGACTGAATGAGGTGGGAAGGGAGGTTGTGGTTAAATTGTAAGGAAGGAGAAAAGTGAGGGCTATCTAGAATCTTGCTATGATTTGGGACTTGGGAGAGAGTAAAGTCTCTCTAATTGCTATACTGTTTTGTGTCTTTTCATTGTATTGTATCAATTTCTACCATTTATGTTCCACTTTGTATTTCCCTGTATTAGTTTTTGATTCCTAGAATAATTGTTTCAATTAAATCCTTATATTGTTGAGGAAGATATCAATAATAGACGTTTGTTTTCACTACAAATCCTTTTTGATATTCTGTAATTTTCCGGTTCTTAGAGTGGGTTCTATCAGTTTCGCGGCCACTAACGATTTCAACGCCTTCGATAGAGATGGCCAACCCACCATCATAACCTGAGCCATCGGACTTGGACTTTCACATGGAGAAGGTTAGGTCTTTGCTTTGCAACAATGCATAGAATCAACCACGAGATGTGAAACAAAAAGAGAAAAAAGAAAGGGCATCATGGGAATGACAAAAAATGGGTTGTCCTCTTGATCTATTAGGCCAAGCCTTAAAGGCGGGAAATGGGAGTCGATGGGTCAACTTCATGGGGATTATCTAGCCTATTCCATTGCAAGATCTCGTCAAGCCTAGGTCGAAGTGTTTTTGACCCATTCATTGCTCAGGTTCAATTAGTAAGATTAGGATTTTTATGCATATGGAGAGAAAATTCACAACGAAGAGGAAAAATCATAGGATAAGGAAAAAGGATAGGAGCAAGATGAAGGGCACGCTCGGTACCACCAGGAACTTGCAACTTCAACTTGGCCAAGTCTCTCTTTCCCCTCCGTCAACTCCAGCTAACATCTTATACTTCTTCAGTCGTTGGATGAGATTACATTAATGGTTTTTATATTTTTCTAACAATTATATTTCTCTAACATTGTTAGAGTTTTTCTCCTTAATTAATTGGGTTGGCTACACATTCCAATGCAACATTGGAATATTGCATGGTTCAAGTCTCCATGCATTGGAAATTCCCCTAATTAATTGATGAACAATCTAAAGCTTGGAAGAAAAATCTTTTGGCCATCTATGAACTGGGAGGATCTATGAACAGGGGAGGAAAAGATGGATTGAAGCATCAAGTAGGCAAGCAAATCCACAAGCAAGTGAGATCCTCCAAGAGAGAGCCACCTTTCCATGAAGAGTTTGAGAGATTGTCATCTTCTCAAATTAGAGTTAGTTTTACCACAAAGGTGAGAGTGATCCACCAAAATTAGGTTAGAGGAAACTTGTTGTAATCCATCCTAGTGGGTGAGGTGTTGAGTAAAACCCTCTAGCTTTGTGCTGGGGTAGTATAGAAACACCCTTGTAATACTACTTTTATGGATTAACTGGAAGATTTGGACCTCCGGTCCCATGCTTTTACCCTTCGTTATTTGAGGGGTTTTCCACTTTACAAATTCGTGTGTTTCTATCTCTATATTTCTATATTTTCTTGCCTATCTTAATCACACAAAGAGGGAAAAAGCTTTGCTTTCGCATTGCTGTATCCACCTTTCCCCAACAAAAAATGAAAATACTCTCTCCCACAACTTTCCTAACCTCCAGAGATAGCCTATTTCTCTTCTTACTAATTTTCTAACTTCCTACATGTATTCCCTCAACCCTATTTATAATCCCACTGACCTAACTAAATCCAATGGGATTTCCTTAACTATCCCCATTAACCCTCCCGTTTGGGAACTAATCAGGCCTAACTAACAGAAGCTGGCCCACATGGGTCTTTGGGTCCACCATTATTTTGTCTAACTTACTTTCCTAAAGGGGTTGCTAAGAGTTTATCAGTAATTAATGGCAAAAATATTGTTCACGCAGATTACAGCTGCTATTCCACAATCTGTGCGCACTGTTCTTTCTAGAGGAAATCAGTGTTACTTAACAACAAAGACCAGGTTAAGTTGAACTGTTCATAGATATTTTATGGATTATTTTTTGACATTCTTCTTTTCCTGTTTGGATGCTAAAAAATAAAGGATGTTGACACTCTTTCTTTACCTCTTTTTGGCTATACTATGTTTAGCATTGCTGACATTTTTCCTCAAGTAAGTCTGAACTTTGCTGGTGGTGCATCTCTGGTTTTAAGGCCACAGGACTACCTTATTCGGCAGAATTATATTGTAAGTATTCCAGCTTCAATTACTTTTCTAAGGTTTAATTCCTGGATTACATGATTTGGGAAGAAATTGATTCCAAGTTGGAACGAGTTATATTTGACAAAGGTTGAAGATTCACTGTCTGTCAATCTGCTGCTTTTCTTTCATTCCATATCTCCGCAGCTTAAAAGCTGATATTGATCTTACTTCTTTTTCTAAGGTGCTTCATGCCTCTGTAATACAATTTCCATGATAACTTGTATATATGTAATAATTTCTTGTGGTATAGATAAATTATCCTGCACTAGAAACTAGTGTGTTCCTTTTGTACTTTTATTGCATTTAGTTAAATCTTATGATTATGCCATGCTAGCTCTCTTTTGGGTGCTTTATGAAGGGAGTAGGGGGGAGAAAACACAACTTCTCTTCAAATTCTCATTGTTTTTATCCCTGGAAAAGTTTTAGGACACACGGTTAATTCTAGAAATTGCTGACTGCTTTGACTAACTACCTGGCTTAATTCTTCGTATACATCTCACTATTATACTTTCTCTAATTTGTCTATTCTGCTTGTTATCTCACTATGTTTTAGTGCAATGATGAACCTGTGTGTGTTACAGGGCGATGGATCAGTGTGGTGTATTGGCTTTCAGAAAATCCAGGGTCAAGGTGTAACAATTCTAGGAGGTATAATGCCAGTTTGGAACCTTTTGGTGCTGTTTTATTTGGTAATATATTGAAAGTGTTAATCACAGAGGTATTCATTGTAATCCTTGTTATATTAAACTACACAACATTGGTGCTATTATATAGCAAACCAATTGAAGAATACAAAGAGACACACTCAATGTGGGACTTCTACACTATCACTCTTAACACTCCCCCTCAAGCTGGAGCATATAGATCGTATGCACCAAGCTTGTTACATATCTGGTCTATCCTAGGTCCTCTCAAAGACTTAGTAAATACATCAGCTAATTGATCATTTGAGTTGACAAAACGAGTGACTATATCTCCTGAGAGAACATTTTCCCTAAGGAAATGACAATCTATCTCAATGTGCTTAGTCCTTTCATGAAACACTGGATTTGAAGCAATATGCAAAGCAGCTTGATTATCACAAATGAGAGATGTTGGGCCAGTGTCTCCAAACTTGAGTTCCTTCAGTAGCTGTTTTAACCAGATGAGTTCACAGGTAGCTGTGGCCATGGAGCGATATTCTGCTTCAGCACTTGATCTAGCAACTACACTTTGCTTCTTACTTCTCCAGGAAATCAAGTTATCTCCAACGAATACACAATACCCAGAAGTGGATCTTCTATCAATAGGAGAACCTGCCCAATCAGCATCTGAGTATCCTACAACTCTGGTATGACCTTTGTTTTCATAGAGAAGACCTTTGCCAGGAGCAGTCTTGATGTGACTTAGCAGATAACTTGTTAAGACCAGGACTGAGATTGTGGACAAAACAAGTAGAACCAAAGATGTGAGGAGTGAGTGGGTACAAAGGTTGATGGGGAAACAACACAGAATGTGGTACCTGATTATGAAGTACGGAGGAAGGCATCCGATTAATGAGATAACAAGCTGTGAGGACAGCATCGCCCCAATACTGGAATGGGATATGACCATGTAACAAAAGTGTCCGAGTAGTCTCAATTAGGTGACGGTTCTTGCGTTCAGCAACGCCATTCTGTTGAGGGGTGTGTGAACATGATGTCTGGTGAAGGATGCCGTGAGATGCAAAGAAGGTTTGAAACTGATGAGACAAATATTCACGAGCATTGTCACTTCGAAAAATGCGAATCGAAACACCAAATTGAGTAAGGATTTCATTAAAGAACTTGTTAAAAATAGAAAACAATTCAGACCGATTTTTCATTAAAAATAACCAAGTACATCGAGAATAATCATCGATGAAAGTGACAAAATATCTGTACCCCATAGTGGAAACGGTACGACTAGGACCCCAAATATCTGAATGAACTAAAGCAAAAGGAGACGAAGACCGACGACTGACACGATCGGGAAACGAACTACGAGTGTGCTTCCCTAACTGACACGACTCACAAGACAAACTAGATAAATTTGAGAAACGTGGGACCATCTTCTGGAGCTTAGCAAGATTTGGATGACCCAACTGAGCATGGATAGTAAGCGGAGAATCCACAACAGAGCACACTGGAACAGAAGTTGAAAGCTCATAAAGGCCATTGGACTCAGATCCGACGCCAAGTGTCCTCCTCGAGCTCCGATCCTGCAAAATTACAGACTCTTTAGTGAAAGAAATAATACAGTCAAGGGATTGAGTCAAGCGACTAATGGAAATAAGGTTGAAAGGAGAATGAGGAACATAAAGCACATTCTCAATGGGAATAGAAGGAAAAAGGAGAACAGTGCCAATCCCTTGGGACTGAACCAGTGACCCATTAGCCATAGTGATACTGGGCAGGGGACCAGACGTACAGAGAGAGGTAAATAAAGACTTATTACCAGAAATATGGTCAGATGCACCAGAATCGAGAATCCATGGACCAAGAGAGGGCGAGTGAGAAACACCAGCAAAGGAATTACCCGTGTGTGCACTAGAGGCAGTGGTACCAGGAGGTGGCTGTGATCCAGCAATCAAGGCAGAGTCCGAGGCAGGAACAGTAGTCTGAGCAAAATGAGCGGAGCGAGGAGGGCGACCGTGAAGATGCCAGCAACGATCAATAGTATGGCCCGACTTTTTGCAATGAGTGCAGAGAAAGCGTCTCGTAGAGGGTTTGCTTCCACGTGCAAAACCCTTGGAGACAAGGGCAGATGGGTCAATTGAAGAGGGAGCAGATACTGCAGGCTCCATAGAAGTCTTAGGTGGAATGCGAAGCAACGTAGACCAAACAGAGTCCAGCGATGGAACCAGCAACGAAAAGCAAAGAACCGCCTGTGAATAGTGACCAGCAAGGGAAAAGACACCGTAGGAAGCCGAAACGAAGTCGAAACAACAAAGTGAGGACAGATCCAAGTGCGCAAGGAGAAGACGAAGGGGACCGTGGTGGTCCGACGGCCAACCGGAGTGGGACGCGCCGCTGCAACAAAACGGGTTGCAGCCGCTGTTTGACGCGCGTGAGAGCGCGTGTAGGAGGATCTGAGGATGGGTCCTGGACAGAAAGGAGCGCCTTCTCGTGGCGATCAGATCGATATGGGTTTCACCGGAAAACTCGCCGGAAAAGTCGCCGGAGACGGCGGTCAACGGCGGTGGACAGTGGTGCCTTATGGCGGTAGTGATCAGACAGGTCCGTAGACGATATATGGAAGCCAGAAACTGACAGATATGACTGTTTCCGGGGATAAAGAAAAAAAAATATTTTACTCAGCAGACAGTGGTCCACCGGAAAAAAAAAACGCGGATTAGGATTCCTCTTGTTAGGCTCTAGATACCATGTTAATCACCAAGAGACAAGAGGTATTCATTGTAATCCTTGTTATATTAAACTACACAACATTGGTGCTATTATATAGCAAACCAATTGAAGAATACAAAGAGACACACTCAATGTGGGACTTCTACACTATTAACACTATCACTCTTAACAGAAAGGATACATAAATTAAGTTTTGCATGTGATTGAATTTCAACTAAAAATAACTGAATCTTAAAGCTATATTTAGAATGAATATCCTTACATAAAAGCTCACAAATAGTATAGAATCAAATCATAATTTCCCCGCTCAACTTTGTACCCCACGCACCCTAGCAAATATTCTTGCTGCTGTTGGGGCTTAACACTAGAACTACAATGTTTTTACTCTCAATCTGCCAGATATTGTTCTTGTTTGTAAATCATTGTTTTTCATCTGCTAGTGATCATGTTATCTTTTGAAGATTATGATACTGACAACACTGCCTTTTTTTCTGGCAGACCTTGTATTGAAAGACAAAATTTTTGTCTATGATCTTGCTGGTCAACGCATTGGATGGGTTAGCTATGACTGTAAGTTGCAGCTATACTACTTTAAAGAGACATATGGGTTCTATAACATCATATTCTGATATGTTCAATTAAAATTCATTAATCTAGGTTCTTTGCCGGTTAATGTATCTGCATCAACTGGTACGGGAAGAAGTGAATTTGTCGACGCAGGAGAGCAAAGTGGCAGCACTTCTTTACGTGATGGACCTCACAAGTTGATAAACATAGGTGTCCTTGCTCTCTTCATGCACATAACACTGATATGCTGCTTTGTATTTTTGTAGCATGTGGAATTGGAACTAATATTCTTTTTTACAATGTATATATTCTCTTGCTGGTATATAATTACTTGGGTTGTCGCTTGTGCCTTCTTTCTGCACAATAGGTTGGTCTCTTTTTAATTTCAGGTGCTTATGTAAGTCACCCTTTACCAGCCATATTTCCCAGGGTTTTATTTTATTGGTGGCATTGTAAATTCACATGATTACTGATCGAATCGATCATACAACTTCACGAGTTATACCACACTTTGGTGTTTTCTACAAGCCTGTCTGCATAGTGCATAAAAATCATCGTTACCATTTTTGGTCAAAGTATAAAGTTATTGTTGGAAATGGCTTTCACGAGCAGGGTTGGCAAAACGGGCCAACTCGGCTCGACCGACCCAACCCGTAAAAAATGGGTTTGATTAGGGTTGACACGAAAAAAAAAACGAGCAAGAAAATCCAACCCGACTCGAGTCGGGTTAGGGTTGTCTCGCGGGTTGGCTCAAAAATATGGCTCGTGGGTTGGCTCGAAAATTGCTCGCGGTTTAATTCGTTTTCAGCTTATTTAAATGAACCTGTAGTATTAATGCACCAACTATGTGGCTTTTATCAGCTTAAACAAAGGGTTACAAAACGAAAATAAAAGCAAAATGTTTTAGTTTCGAATTTTCTTCACAACAAATTTGACTAACATTAGGAAATGATCAGAATAACTTACTACTAAGTGGGTAAGATATTTGAATCAAATAGAGTCAATACAACCTAATAATATAAAATAGCAGCAATGTGAGAAGATTAGAGACTTAGGTTTAGAGAAGGAAGAAAGACGATGACAACATGTGTGGATTTTGTTCATTTTTTGTATATTATATTTTGTATTTTTTTATACTAAAAAAAAAACTTCAACCCATGAGCTAGGCTATTTGACCCGTGGAATGACTCTTTTTTCCTTAACTGGCTTGGGTCAGGTTGGTTTGGGTTGACAGCTCATTTTGCCAACTCAACCCAACTCATTTTTAATGAATTACAAGTCAAACCCTACCGCCATTGCCCACATACATTTTTCTTTCACAAGGAAAAATTGGTTTGCTTCCTCTTACATTATGGTCGCTTTACCCTTTAATAATAGTATAATACCGCCGTCGTGGATATAACTTGATCTCTTTGCGTACTTTATCAGTTACCCAAAATCTTCTAGATACTGAAACTGAGAAATCCAAACCCACTCCAAAAAACAAATAAACCTACTTTCTTTCTCTACACCTTGGTATTCGATCGAACCTTCCCCTGATAAATCAGGCTGGCCTAAGACCCAATTATTAGCCACCATACAATAAATCAGGCTCATAAGTCCACCATACAATAAATCAGGTTCACAAGTCCTGCTCCTACCTCATCGAGTGACATAAAGTCTGACGCGAAGGCTATATGATTGTTATATTTATTTGGCATTTATATAAACACATGCAGTTGACATTATAGGAGTTTTTAGTTCACACTTAAAAAGAAATTCTAGGAATTTTCCGCATCCGAGTCAGTTGATAATCAATGCGTATATCCATCTAATCAAGAGAAGAAATTGGACATAAGGTGGGATATAGGTAGAGGCTAGATACGATACGGCCACGTAATTAGAAAACACCTACATGAATTGAAGATAAATGCTAGGCCAATTGCAATTGGAAACTTCATTTTTCATTAAACTTCCTTTCGTGGAAAATCAGTATATGATGACAATTAGATGAACCTATTTCATTGGATGGGTAGTCTTCTCTTCTTTAAATTCCTCTTAATTTCTTTCTTTTTCCTATGTGATTGTCTACTACAAGATAGAATATTCAGCGCTCCCGGCCCACATACACTGAGAGGAAAAAGAGAGAATATGAAGAGAGAGAATCAGATCACTGAATATTTTTTCCTACTATAAATAACAATCGAACAGGTTTATACACATATATAGCCTGAATTAAAATGATTTTTTAAGCGCAAGAAATAATATTTTTTTGTTAACAAAATTCAAAATTTTAATGAAAATATGATAAATATTAATTAAATGTGATTGTGATTTATTGAAAAATCAAAGTTGACTTCAAGTATTTATAGGATTTGGGTAAGTGATTCGCGAAGAAATTTATAGGATTTTTTTTAAGCTTTCCATAAATATTAATATGAAATAATTTGGTACAAAATGGTCAAGAATGACCTGAAATAAATTGAAGTTGTTTATTTGAAAAAATGAGTTAAATTTAATTAAGTCAAGTAAAAAAATTCATGAAACAAGAAATTGAATCGATCTTTTCATTCACTCAAAAACTTTCTTATAACAATTTTAATTATAAAACTTTCTAAATTTACATCTTAAAACAAATACACATTTTAAGCAGAAAAACAAATTAAAACACTATTTATTTGTAGTTGAATATCGCGAAGTTTCTTTTGTTAACATTATTTTTTTTTTTGGATTACTTTTGTTAACATTATTATTGTTCTTGTTGAGTAATAATAAATTTCAAAAAAATTCCACTTTGCATAATTTTAATACATTCAAAAACTGCAAATATATATCAGTTTGAATATGTAAAAGATATTAACAGTCCACATATCATGTATTGCTGTATGTAATCCATTCGTATTATTTTTTACAAACATATAATTTCTCAATACAATCTTTTGTTGACAAGGGTTAGCAAGACAATAATAATGGTGTAATATAGTTGTCACTATCATTGTTTTATGAATAAAAGGAACAAATCCAAGCAAGTGGATTCTTCGACCAAATGATTCTTGCATTTTGTTTGACGAAACATTGAAAAGTGAAGGTACTTCCAATTTTGTTACTGACAAATCTGTTACGTGTTTACAAAATAAATCTAATTTGGTTAGATTCCCGTTTGATTGGTCTTCTTTTAATACATTCAACATCAATCACGTGCCACTAAAGCAATTTCTTGGACCTTGTACTCCATGTTTTAAGACTTGTAATTGTCATGAAAAATAATGGACTACCTTTTCATAAAATTTACGTATATACTTTCACAGTTAGATATGTATTAGTATCAGGGAAATATAAGAATCATGTTGCAGGAATGGCACTTCATTCCTGCAACAAGGATCTGCTGCCGTATTCTTAGGATACGGCGTCGTATCCTGATGTAGTTTGATTTTTTTTTTTAAGCGTGGGACCCACACTTGATTTGTGTGTGCAGGAAAGTGCTCTAGTCATGTCACATGACAAAAAGCGAACCCTTAGTATTATTATTTATTACACAAATATTATTAATTATAATTATGATACCGATATCAAACAAAAAATTTAATACCTTATTTAAATGTCAATATTTGTTCTTGATCTAACAACTCTAATTTATAAGCATGTGCGCCATAGATCTACTTGATCTAACGATCTTTAAATGAGATATCAAACTTTTAATTTGATATCAATATTAAATGATCCTATATCCTTTATTATTATTGTTGAGATATATAGTCCCACATTGATTGTATGAGCAACTAATGTCAAGTTTATAAGGCCTTGGGCACTCTCACCCTTTGAGCTAGCTTTTGGGGTGGTGTATCCCAAGGTTCTTTACATGCTATCAGAGCCTCGCCGTTTCCCACTTTCTCTTGTGGAGTTTCTTAACACAGGTAGGCTGGGCCTGTTGCATTGTCCACTCTTCAAGCCCAATAGGCTCTTGTGTGAGGGAGCGTGTTGAGATATATAGTCCCTACATTGGTTGTATGAGTAACTAATGTGGAGTTTATAAGGCCTTGGACACTCCCACCCTTTGAGCTAGCTTTTGAGATGATATATCCTAAAAGTCTTTACAATTGTTTTTCTTAAGGGCATTTGGTTGAGGAGAAATTTTTTGAATACTAGAGAAATGTAATTGATAGGAAAATGGTTAAAAAGTGAGTTTGATAGGAAAATATAAAAAAAGTTATTTGATTAGAAAAAATTTATATTTGGTTGAAAGTGAAATATTAGTAGGAAAATAGGATTCAATTACCACAACACCCCTTTGCTTATTTGGTTTTTATATGAAAGAAAGAGAAAAGAGACCCCAACTATAGGGCATTTTTGTCATTGCAAATTGAGCTCTTTTTAGTTGCACAGCTAAATCTCAAAAACCACCGTTTCATGTGGTTTTTCAAAATAGTGTTTTCTATCTATTTTGCAAATGAATTGCAATGGATGGGGAAACAATTTTGATGGTAAAATTTGTTAAACACTTGCACCAAACATGGTTAAATAGAACTCCCAATAAAAGTTGCCTAGCTATCCATATTAAAAACTCCTACCAAACACCCTTAGGGGAGCGTTTGGTTGGAGCTTTCTTAAAATATAGCAAGGCAACTGAAAGTGGGATTGTGTGCTACCTATGTTTGGTACAAAATATCAAGTTTTTTCCCTAGCAAACCAATTTACCCAGCTATTGATGATTGTTTGCAAAATCAGATGAAATACACTATGCTCAAATCCCACTTCCAATGTGGTATTTGACGTTAGCCAGCTAAATGAAAAAAAGATGATGAAGGAGATGCCAAAATTACCCTCTTCTAACAGTATTTTCTTGCTCCAGCTTTAATGGCGAGTGCTGAGTGTTCTCAAAACAGCATTTGAATCTTCAATATTTGCATGCTTCACCAACTCCTCACAAACAATACCCATAACCCAAATAATATGATTTTCTGAAAATGCAAATGCAATTGGAATTCTCATCACAAAGGAATCAACTTTTTGAGTTTTTGCAACCTCTGAACCTAACCCAGATGGCTAAAGAGTTGTAATATGTCATGGGGTTCTGTTTTTCAGTCTCATTGAATCAATATCTCAAATGGGTTTTCTGATTCTTGGACTGCTGTGAATTTTCTTTTGTTTTTTTTCTTCATCTTTTTTTGTTGTTGTTGTTCTTTCACTTCTTTGTTGGTTTCTTGGTGTGTGAAAGTGTTAAGATGGGGAAAGAGATGATAGAGAACGTGAATGATGATGGAGAGCTTGATGAGCTTGAGATGTTGCTGAATGAGATCCCTTAGATGACCCATTAACCACCGACAACATATATGGCTTTGTACTGAAAAAAAAAAGGGTAAAGGGTAGGTGATTAAAAAAAAATTAAAAACAGGATATTTTCGTAATTGCAACTTATTTCTCATCTATATTTTACCTCAAACCAAAC